ATGTATTGTCATTCTGATTGTTGACTTGCATTTTCACATTGTCGGTTCAGTATCTCCTCCTTTTATTCAAATAATTCCAACAGATACACAGTGAAATAAGCTGCCATACTATGACACTATTTTTGAGATTTCTTTGCCATTTTAATATGAAATTAGTGGATATTTTCTCACATCTGTGTTCTTTAATATGCAGATGAAGCGGTATGGACATCCAATCTAGAATTGACTCAAACTTGGGAGGGAATTTTGACTCACATTTTAGTGCAAGCTTTGCCCTGTGTTGCAGTCACCAATTTTTCCTGAAAAAGAACAGCATTAAAAACATTGTTCCTCGGGTTTATATTTTGTCAAGTGCTACAGGTTTTGCGTCATGAATTAATGCACCATATCCCTTCTTTTTAATCTTATTAAAAATCTTAAACTTTTCAATCTATTTTTTAATTCTTTCCTGCAATATAGCGGTGAAGTTGATCAAGTCCATACTTATAGAACCTCCATTAAATCCTATAACATGGTACACTGCTCTGTCAAGTAATGATATTATTTCATTTTGATCACATCTAGATATAGTTGCCAGTCTCTCATACAGGATTAATCTACCACATGACAGAAAGGTCACATGATCTTCTGTGGAATGACATGTGTCCAGCTTGACAAATTACTTGATCCAACTTTGATAGTATTTATTGGAAAAAATAATTACATTGTCCAATTTTGGTGCAAAGGTTATACTGTATAAACATAGGAAATATATTAAGAAAGTCTGCAGTGCCAACAGGGAATTAAATCACGCCAACAAAAATAGTTTATTTGATATTGTATTAATTTAACGCATGATTTTCGGAAACCTAAGCCTGAATGTTGTTCAACAAAGGTTGACTTGAAACAAATTTTATTCTAATATCTTATTTATACAGATAAGACCATTTGTGATTTGTCTGATGCATGTGATTTTTAATCTGAAGCTTGTTCGAATGAAAAATAATTTCCTGGTTCAAAAGATAAACTAATTACAAAAAGATGTGGAGATAAAATTGAGAATGGAAATGGGGAATATGTCAAAGAGACAACAACCCGACCAAAGAGCAGACAACAGCCGAAGGCCACCAATGGGTCTTCAATGCAGCAAGAAAATCCCACACCCGGAGGTGGTCCTCAGCTGGCCGCTAAATAAAATTGTGTGCTAGTTCAGTGAAAATGGACATCACACTAAACTCCAAAACATATAAATGAAATAAAATTAAAAAACATACAAGACTAACAAAAACAAGAGGCTCCTGACTTGGGACAGGCGCAAAAATGCGGCGGGGTTAAACATGTTTTGTGAGATATCAACCCTCCACCTATACCTCTAGTCAATGTAGAAAAAAGAAACACATAGCAATACGCACAGTAAAACTCAGTTTAAAAGCAGTCCGAGTCCGATGTCAGAATAGGTAACAAAAGAAACTAAGCAAAATGACAATGATACATATAAATGAACAAAGGATTGCTAGCAGTTACTGACATGCCAGCTCCAAACCTCAATTAAACTGATTGAAAGATTATGTCTTCATCATATGAAAATCAAGCACAATCCCTCCCGTTAGGGGTTTAGTATCATACCATCATAAAATATATGAGAAGAACATAACCCGTATCATGCCAACAACTGGTTTTAGAATAAATGTGTTTATTTCCGATGCAAAGACCCTACGAGTGAATTAATATTAATACCAAAATATGCAATCCTTAATGACTTGACAACAGTATCGTAACTATATTCTTTCCGATTAAGTCTGTTTAAGGGTTTGGTTCGCTTTTGAGGTGAATGCCGACATTTTTGTGCGTTGTAAAGAATATTACCATAAAATATTGGATGTGAAATACCTGAACGTATAAGATGTCTGCATGTGAGTATCCTTTGCAAATACTTTTCTATCTGTAGGCAATAAGATACCTAAAATAACTTATGGCTCTTTCTAAGAATACCCTTAAGAGAACAGTCTTTCACAATTGTTATGTTGTAAACCTGACACTTCTAAAACACTTGTGTTTTTGTAGTTCAGTATGAATCTTTTTCTGATAAAATTGAGAATGGAAATGGGGAATGTGTCAAAGCGACAATGACCCGACCATAGAGCAGACAACAGCCGAAGGCCACCAATGGGTCTTCAATGCAGCGAGAAACTCCCGCACCCGGAGGTGTCCTTCAGCTGGCCCCTAAACAAATATGTATACTAGTTCAGTGATAATGGATGTCATACTAAACTCTGATACATAGTAGTCTCAGTATAAACCTTTTTCTGAATGTATCAAATCAGCATCACAAGCCTTCTTTTACAGAAACTTTCCACTTGTTGCTATTGTCTCAAAGTCAGCAGGTTTTAAAAATCATTCATCAAGGGAACAGTTATTCATAACTGTTATGTTGTAACTTGTCCAAAAGGAAACAGTCATATATAACTATTTTTTATAAACTTTTTCTGAAATATTTCACCGTCACATGCATTCTTCTGTCTATTGCTACATCATCATAGTGCTGACTATAAGACACTACCATGTACCAATAAACGTAACATTTTTCTCTAAACAAGGCCTCTTGGGTTTAAACATTTGGAACAAACTTAAAAACCTGACAAGAAATTGTAATTTGTAATACTCTACTCAAAATTGTCAAGGTAAATTTTATAAAATATTATGATGGTGATGAATAAAAATCATGATACATGATTTTCCTTTTGTTGAATATGTCCTTCAAAAACTTGGTTGATCAAGCCATTCCCAGTCAGGTAACTATGGGTAAGTGGCATCAACATTGAGGGTAATGGTGAAAAAAAGAGGTCTTTTATAGCTTGCTTTGCTGTATGGGTTTTGCTCATTGTTGTATAGGCCTTATAGTGACCTTTAGTTGCTTACTTCTACATAATTTGGACTCTGGTGGAGAGTTGTCTAATAGGCAATCATACCACATCTTCTTAATTTTATAGGTACTGGTTGTTTTATATAGTACGTGATATTTCTGCAGATTTGTGTCGGTCCTGTCCAGTGACAACAGAATAACATTTTTCATTTATGTTTATTTTTGTAAAGACACATACTTAAGCAAAACACTTTTATTTGTACATTTCATATCTTAAAATTTTAACAACAATTATAAAAAAAAAAAAAAACAAATAAATTTATTGAACAACGAGAAATAATCATAAAAATACAGATAAATAAATATAAACTAATATAGCTTTATCACAGGCAAATGATAATAAAAAATTGATTTACAAAAGGAGCACTGAGTGTTATATATGCAATAGCATTTAGACATATACTCATATGCTTTTTCTAAAAGCTCATAAGCTAAATATTTGAGGTTATTTTAGTGTTGCAATGATTATTTCAGAAGGTTGATAATCTCTTTTTGAAAGGTAATTGATGCTAAATATTGATTATCTTTTCAATAATTAATTGTGATCTGTTGTATTCATTTTAACTAGATAACTTGATTTAGTAATAGGAATATGTCTTAATATTTTGGACTTCAAAGATGCTATTGTTCTCTGTCGATTTCAAACATTGTCCATTGAAACAGGAAGGTGGCAAAATATATTAAGAGAGAACTGTTTTTGCCACCAACGTAACAATTGTCATATTGGAGATGAATATCATTATATATTTGAATGTAATGTTTTCCATCAAAAACAAATAGAGTATTTAACTTAATATTTTGTAAAATGTCACAATACAGTTAAATTTTCTTAACTCATATTGAGTACACAAAAACCAGTGCGGTAGAAGCTTTTTAAAAAAAAACATTAATACTTGTTTTTGTCCTCCTGTGACTTTTGTTATCTCTCTTTCTTGTTTTGTATATATTGTAAATAGTTGTTGTTCACTCTGTACCAATGTTATGCATTGGTTTTATGAGAATAAAGATATCAATAATTTGAACATTGAAAATTAATTTATTTAGTCAAATATGAGTAATTTGAACTTTTAATTTGTATTTTTGTCATAATCTGTTGTATTTAGTCATCTAAAAAATATAATTTAAAAATTGATTTAGTAATAGGAAAACAAATGAAGAGAACACAATATGGTTTTTCTTCATTCTTCTTTGCTATCAAAATAATTTAAACCTTCCCTTTAAAAAAAGGTGATAGTAATTTAAAAGATTTTTTGCTCCCCAGGTAAAAAAACATATATTTGGCCAAGACAACAGAGGAAAAAATGAAAACGACCTTTTCTGTTTCGCTTAAATATTAAATTTATTTCAAATGACATTTGTTACAACTGGATTTAAATAGTTAAAAGAAATTTATAACACTCTGCCTACTATGGAACATATATGACATCATTTGAGGATCTTTTGTGTACCGTCATATATGTTCTTAAATATATCTTTTTAATAAATATATCTTTTCAAATGTTTTTATCCCACAAAATATTGTACGAAAAAGTCTGATTAATTTTCAGGAAAATAAAAAGCTGCATGAAACCTTTATACATAACTATAAAATTGTAAGAAGTACACAAACAGTTTTTTATAGTTATTTTTGTAGAAAGTGGTATAAATAATACTAAATGAATAGTAACCATTGGAAGAGACAATTTTTTCAAACTTTTTGAGAAATAGAATAAATTTCTATCATGTCTATAGTACCATGTAAAATATTGTTTTATCATTTAGAGAGTAGAATATCTGAAATTAAAAAAAAAATAACAATAAACACAAAAAGATCATAGGCATTTGTACAAAAAGCAAAATATATTGCATCCATTGTATGGACAAATGTTACATTTAATGAAATATCATTCAGTTACATGAAATATGAACAATTAAATACTTCTTAATGTGCAATTTAATGTTAACAGATTTTTGCTTATGCCATGTATATTATCAAAACAATTTTTACTAATTAATGATCAATAATAACATATACATGTAATATCATTACATTCATTTATTACTAAAAAAAGATGTCTGTCAGTTCCTTCAAACATCTGCTTATACCCCCTCCCCCCCCCCCCCCCCCCCAAAAAAAAAAAAAACAAAACAAAACTAAACAAACATCATGAGGATATTTTTCTGAAATTACTTCCCAAAAACAAAATTGAGATACAACCCTCAACCTAATTTTAAGATTAAGAAACATAATGATGCATGATGCATGACCATTGTAATTTACCCATTTCTTATTTTCTCCTAATTGCTTGCCTTACATTTAGACCAAAGATTATCTTATCAGAATCAAAATGGTAAACTGATTACATAATTATCTACAAGTAATCACTGACAAAAAATGTTTTGGATGAAACTTGTGATCTATATTTATTTGGCAAAAATGTTCTCGAAAATGGCAAATTCTTGCTAAAATCTGTTTTTTCATCCTTTACACAGTCGCTGTGATGCTCTGTTCATAAGGAGGCCAACCATTACCAAGTACTGCTAAGTTATAATTATTGTAGTTAGCAAATTCAAGAATCAATTTATGTTAATAATTATTAAATCTAATGGATGATCTTTGTTGTATCAGTACTGAAAACTATTTAAAATCACATTAATATCAGACCCTGCTCAATTTACAACAAACTCATTTATTTTTCATTCGAAAGATTGAATTTCAAATATCAAATTCCTTGCATTCAAAAACAAGCTTGAGTTATTGAATTTTTTATGATATTTATCTTATATCCCCATCACTGACCACAGTTTAACCACACAAAAAAGTTAGCATACTTGACATTGCAAATATGACCTGCATTATACAAATTCTTTAAAATTTTTCCTAAAAAAAAAATCACTAAAGGTGACTTTTAAAAAGTCAAACTTCTATCACTACATTAACTTAATACCATATAAAAAAAAATAATTCTGCAAGCAGAATGTAGGATTTTCCAAGAATTCCTAGCATGTCAAAAGCTTATTTTATATTCATAATTTACATTCTAAAAAGTTAATGTCGATTTTATTTTATAATCCATAGGCAAGTCCGTATCAATTGCACAAAGAGATAAAAGCACAACCTGGCATAGGATATGATAGTCAGGAACTACTTCCAGTTGTTGACAAATTGCATTCGTTGACAGACACATGTAAGGCATCATATGTTTGTTCAAGGTTGTCTTTTTCACGAGCTGACACATCAAGTTGCTCATAGGAATGTATTTTTGCTGGTGGTGCTGCTGAATTTTGTTCATTATTTGGCACAACAACATTGCTAAAATCTATATAATCATTTGAGACACTGTTTTCTGAGCATTTTGATGGACTGTTACATCCATTTGTGTCACTTCTTGAACAAATGTCGGCATTGCTATCTAAAGAGCTATCTGCCTTATTACAATGCTGTAAACTATTTAATCTGATATTGTCATCAGAACTTTGTAAAAGATTTTCATTAATTGTGGTTCCTCCTTCTTGCACAGGTTGTAGCATTTTCATGGCTGCGTTTTCGTATGAACCAGAATTATTCTCCAGCGAAGGATATGTTTCATTGCTTTCCATTGATTTCTCTATTGTTTCACTTTCATTATTCCCAGAAGCAAGTGATATTAACACATCTCTTGTATATTGGTTATTGTTTGTCTGTTGCTCAGGAGGAGGAAATTCCTGTACATAGTCATTACCTTCAGACACACTATCAACAATAGGGTATTTATCCTTGGCATGATATTCTGGTATTTCTTCATATTCTGACTCGATCAATCTTGAACTTCCATTTTTGTAGTGATAATCACCTTGTCCTTCTAAATAAGGAGCTGATGGCTCTACACCTACAATAGAAATTTTTTTTTTATTTTAAAACGAGAATTTTAATACATTTTTTGTCAACTTTTCTTTACTTTTCAATGACAACTTTTATCTGTCTGGTCAGACTTAGGATTATATATCCAAAGCATGTATTAGGATAGTGTTATGTTCCTTACTCCTCCAAGAACCAGAGCAAAATCTCTTTGTATAGAGAATGTTTTAGTCAAAATCATCCACCCCTACTTTCCCTAGCACAGGCTTTCAAATTATATATCTTTTCAAATATTTACCACTGAACATTAAGCAGCCAACATTTATCAACAATATTATTTGAGCAGTCATTTTGGAACCAGCTTTTGATACTTCTATCAGGAAATTATAAATTTCAAGAATTTCAAGCTATGATACAAACTCGGACAGATTGAAATTAATAAATTTCCATTCAAGGCCACTAAAGTTTATCCTGTCTATGCATGTATGTATTGAACGTGCTGACCGACCACTGGGGACCAGTGACAACCTCTAGCAATTAGAAATCATGTCATGCTTAGACATAACATGCCACAAAAAAAGTAAAATGTATGCCATGCTTATTTGCTCTGAAAATCTTACAATTTAAGTTACACACTCAACTACTGCAAACTGTTATTATATTCCACATTTGCTTGTTTGGCTAATTTAAGAACAACATACAGTAATTCTTATTATTTACCTATTATATCCTCTTCATACATTCTGTGTCTCCTGTTAAAGAAATTTTCAATAAATCTGTAAAAAAAAAAAGAAGGTAAAAATTAACATCTTGTCCTTTATAAATAAAATGTACAGCACTTCTGGTTCTTTTTGTGATTTCTGATAATTTTTCACAACTGATCTTTTCCTCGGTTATATTTGTTGAAGGTCACTGAAACATCCGACAAGTACCTTTTGTATTATCTTTGTTTTTTTTTGTGCTCAATGCAGTCTCTTGACAACACCTCTAATTCTTATTTTCTTCCTATCACAAATCTGATGGTAGATGGTACTTAGTATTAAAAAATGACAAAAAAAGTTTTGTAAGAGACAGGTGGTCAAGATAAGGACTAGATTTATTTTATTTCATTGCTATATACTGATTAAGAATAATTTATACTATTGTTTACATGTTTCTATCATTTCAATGAAAATTTCGTACATAAAAATAAATTGCAGAGATCTTTGAAGCACCTAAGAGGTTAAAACCTTGATTTTCTTCATGATTTTGTTTTGTACAGACAGTACATTTATATATCAACCAACGTTAGGTTGCACCCTATCTTTTTCAAAGGTATAACTGGCAAAACCCAAAAATTTTCAAAAGTTGCTGGATCCATCATTGAATTAAATCAACAGTGTTACTTCAGTGTCCTTACTTATAGTGTTTTGTAAGGATAACATACCTTGGTTGTTTTTTTCGACAGAAACTAATTATAATAATTAGCAATATGATAACTAGAGCTGCTGTTGCTGATCCAAATGTTATAGCCAAGAACTTCTGATCATTTTCATCTAAACCACTTTTTCCCTTTTGGGCTTCTACAATGACATAAACATATTCATTATTTTGCTGAGCTTCAATTAAAATGAAAACGGTAAAATAAGGGAGGTTACAAGGATTTTTGTTTTATCTTGTAATAAGAATGTTTTCATTTTTGTTGTTGTAAAAATTGCAACTTTAATTTAAGCTGACTCATCTGACTTACTGTATTTGGTATACCTATATAATATTCACATTCAATGTGTAATATTATAATAAGGCCTGTATCTAAAGTGGTAGACACAAAATAAATTGCAAAGTCAAAATTAATAGCTACTTTCATGATAAGATGTACTTTTAATATCAAAATGACATGCTGGATAAGATGCATCAAGTATATGACCATATAAAAATCAATACAAGTATCAGAACTCACACGAAAAGAGTACTTAAGACCTTTACAAAACAAAACATAAAATAAAGTGATGGTGTGAAAAATAAAATTTGTTAAGTTTATTGTCAGCAACATTTGGTAATTAGAAGTACTGATAAGATAAATATTTTGTGTGTTAAAAAAAAGTAAAATTTAAGCTAAATCCTGAAATATCTTTCAAATACATGGTTTCACTCTTCAAATTAAACATCAAGAAAAAAGTCCATTTCAATATTTACACAGCATTGTCTAGGATTTAATGTATTTTTGAAGCTATATTACATTCTGTATTGACTAAATGGCCTGTGATGTGACAATATAATCCCCTTGTGACATTCCATCATTTTCCATTACCAATAATTTCTAATTATGTATTATCTCCTCCAGTAGAGATATGATATGATTGATGAAATCACGACAACCAAATGATCAGGTACATAAATATTGTGGTTGCTTGGAAAATATAAAAAGTACTTAGCAAAAGATTTAGTGAGGGTGTAGATATCATTTTCAGTTGGACCAAATTTTATCATTTCGATGAATAAAAAGTGATCTGAGGTATACAACAATAAGACAGGAACCTAACAACACAAAATCTTAAGGCATTTAATAATTAGCAAACAGTCTTCAACAATGGTGTGTTCCCATTTCGCCTTAGCTGGAAATTCCTGGTAAAAAAGGTAAAATAAATACTAAGGCGATATGGGAATTGTACTAAGGCGAAATGTGAATTTAGATGAAAAAATTAAATAAACAAATTAAACCTCTGTGTTTTTATAACAATATAAACAACATGTAATTAGGGATTTTTTTTTCTCTTGGATTATTATTTTAATATTTATTTATAAAAAGACACTTTTTATGATTTAAAAAATTGTGAAATCAGAAAAAAAAATCTACAATAAAACATAAGTCAGTAGGAAAGTTGCTTCTTTTATGCTTTATTTAAGAAAAGTTTCGATTGTATGAATTTTATGCAATTAAAAAATTCTTAATAATTCAATTATCCTTTACATTGTGCAACACAAAAAGTTAAAAAGAAAGAGAAAAAATACATTCCCACAGATTTATTTACATATATGACAGAAATTTTAATAAAATAAATAAAATAATAAAAAAAATTTTTTAATTGTGTTAATTATATATAATAAAGAAAATTTCGCCAGACCACAAGTAGAGAACCATTTCTACAAGCTGATGATGGTGACATCAACAAGCTACTCATATTTACAACTGCTGAAAATCTACGACAACTGTGCACTGCAGACACTGTATACTGTGATGGAACTTTCTACACAGCACCACCAATGTTTGACAGCATTTTCACCATTCATGCATTTGTTGGGACAGCCATGTTTCAAACATATTTGAAATTATCAATGTGTTCAAGAAAGAGCAAGCATCTAACGAGGTAAAGAAAGTACAGTATGCAGCAGGTGGCAAGATGAGGGGGAAAGCAAAGAAGTATAGAGAAATAGAAGAAAGATTCGCCAATTTGAAGGAAACCCTACACAATGGTACAACTGACTATATTCAGTATGGTGATGCAGCATCTTACATCCTCAAACTTGGAAACTAAATGAACTTTGAACATTCAAATGTGTACATCAGTGCCTTGTTTTTCAAAATATGAACTATATGGAAATAATTCTTATGTTTTATGTATAAGTGCTTATTCTCATGCTATTATTTATAACATTGTGCTTTGAATTCAGTGCTGATTCAGAAATAAAATATTTGTTATGATAGTTTGATATTTGTCTTTATTTATTCATTAAAATATGAAACATCCATATCCAATTTGTCATATCTAATAAGACTTTATTTACAAAATATAACACATGAGTAAAAAAATACAATTTCAGAAAAAGAAGAGCAACTATAAAAAAAAATATTTTAAAAGTGGGACACAAAAAATCAAAAAAAAAAATATCTTCTTTTAAATAGTATTTCATGGTAGAATTTGACATCAAAATAACAAATATCAACTAATTGCAACACAAACAAAAAATAACTTAATTACATTGTTTACACAAGCTCCCATTTCGCCTTAGTTAATTCTTGTGTACCTGAAAATTTGTACTAAGGCAAACTGGGATTAATTTTATATAATTATTTTGACAGCTAAGGCGAAATGAGAATAAGCCTCAACAATAGACAATTGCATTCTTAATTTGGTGATATCAGAAATGTTTAGACAAGTTGCTAGCCTTATTAATATCTATGAGGTGATTAATAATTTCAGGAAATTCATTTAATTCCTATTTTCTACATGTTTTTTTATTTTAAATGAACTTCAATTCCTTCTTCGTTTATTTTACAATTTCTTACTTACCAATCTCAAAACAAGATGATAATCAAGCACATATATTTTCTAATTTATTTAAGTTGTTGGGTTACTGTCCTATTGATATGTACCCCCAAATCTTTTATTGAATATGTATAAGTTGTTTGAAAGAAAATATTTTTTCACTACATGATGTGCATGTCCCATACAGAGCCTTAATGAACAAAATGAAACAAGAATATTTCCTAAATTGTTGCTAGATTAAGTAAAAGCTGAAAAATATAATCAATTATAAGTCAATCTTGAATGCCCTGTGGACTCTTGTTGGTTGTGAAATGTAATTTGTCTCAGAAATATCACTGAATATTATCTAAATAATAGCTAATCCGTTGAGGATAAGGTTCAGACCCTTAGGATTCTATCTGTCTGATGTAATGGCTAAATTCCAAGAAAACTTGTTATAAACCATTGATGGAGTTTTGATGATACATTCCCTAACACAATTTTCTGCCTCCATTAAGTCTAAAACATTATTATATTAAACATCTTCTTGTTTTATCGACAGGGCATGTTTTGTTTCTTGGGTAAATTTAATAATTTTTCCTGAAACAAGCAATGAATCTTGTCACTTCGGTATCCTTTTTATGATTGGTTATGGAGAAAATAACAAAAAGATTGTATCATAAATTTTGTTCAGACATGTAAACTGAGGGTGCTAACCAAGCATTAGTTCATTTTTTAAATTAATATAACATTATATGTTGTAAAATTAGTTGGTATTCTCCAGTCAACTATTGTGTTTCCAACAGAAATTCAATTATTTTGCTCTATTAAATGATTGCTTTTGTCACTTTGATGAGTGCTGTGTAATTTCTTATAGCAAATTTGTATTTATGTTCTCCCAAAATTTTATATTATCAACTTTCATATGACAGAAGTGTCATACCAATTTGCCTTTAATTTTAGGTGTAAAAAAATATAATTTGTCGAAACAAAAAACCCAAGCTAATGGTTTTGAATTTTTCTAATTCTCATTAAATATTAAACTGAAACATGAGTTCAACAAATATATTTTCGTGCCTTTTACTTCAACCAGAATTTATCAGTCTTTTTGATAACAAATACAAGCATTTTTTTTTCTTTTTCATGAAGTTAAAAAGACAAAGAAATGATTCAGTTGCTCTTTACATGGAAATCAATAGCAGATTTTGTTGTTTTAACATCTTTACATTGTGGTTACTAGTCATTCAACATATGCTAAGTTAATGTTCCTGAAAATAATATTTTTACTTGGTTTCAAAATTTATTGATATACATTAATCTATTGATAAAATACCAGGGTGTATTTAAACTATTTTTGAAGTGATCTTTGGTAAGCAATTCCAAAAGAATGTTTTGCAATAAATTTTATAGTCCTATACATGTTGTACTAAGAATGTTGGTCATCATATTTTCCATGTATTTTGCCTATAAAGTTATACCTACCAGATCCAGGATTTTTACAATTCAGTTCATGCTGACAACAAACTTTCTGCTCTTTATATACTTGAGTCTTTGCACTGGGAAAGTTCACTGTTTCTAACCTGTTAAATTTAAAACATGGATTTAATCAAAAGCTTTTTCAAAAGCTAATCTATGCATCCTGCAAAGAAATGTGATTTTTAACAAGTATTCACATTGTATTAACCAATAAAAAACTGCTACAATTCAGCAACTTAAATCAATGGCACTTAAACAATGTTTACATATTAAGACACCAACAATAGTTTTGTTTGAGTGAAAAATGTTTGTGCATGCTAGCATGCAAATTTATACCTACAGTAAAGAAGGTTAAATATTACATATGCTATATAGTATAAATATTTTTATCCCACTTATACATTATTACATATCCATTATAAAATACTAGTAAATGAACTACTGGAATCGAGGATTTATATAATATGTTTATTTATTTTACTGAATAATATTCAAATGTATCTTTGATCTCCTATTTGTGGTCCACTTTTGAGCAGTCAATTTCTTTGAATTTAAGAATGCAAAAGAAAAATTATATTTTTGCTAAGTATCTAATTGTCCTTTATGTGACGTGTTGCCCTTGGACAGATAGAATATGTGCAACATGGGGGAGATTGGAACTTTGTTCCTTTATCTAAAATAATATAAAACAATATAAGTTTTTGATATTTAATCAATAGTGGTCCCATTGGCAATCATACCCCATTTTTTATTGTCCCCCGCACAACACGTTGCGGGGGACATAGAAATAAAGGGCGTCCATCCGGTCTTGTCAGAGCTCGCACATGTACAATTCTTGCCAGATTTTTATAAAACTTATATCATAGATTTATATCAGCAAAGTCTTTGATGAGTTCGAAAATCAGTGTCGATCAAATATTTTTAAAAGAGTTATGTCCTTTGGAAATATTAATTATATGGAAAATTGCATTGTTAGCACTCTCATGTGTACAATATTTGCCAGATTTTTATGAGATTTATATTATAGGTTTATATCATCAATGTTTTTGACGAGTTTGAAAATCAGTGCTGATCAATTATTTTTAAAAGAGTTATGCCCCTTGGAAATATTGATTATATGGAAAATTGCATTGTTAGCGCTCGCATACTGTATATGTGTACAATTCTTTGAAATATTAATTATAACGGAAATCGCATTGCATTTGTTCTGAAGCCTTCATTTCTCTAAGATATTTATAAAAAGTTTTAAAAAGCAAAAAAAAGTATTTTTTTAGTTATTGCCCTTGTACCTTGGATAGATAAAATATGTGCAATGCGTGGGACATTGGAACTCTGTTCTTTTATTTTCATTGTTGAAAAATATATTAATGGAGTTTTTTTTTTATCAAATTAAGACAGTATTAGGAAGTTTAGTATAAAATGATATCAACACCACTGAAAATTATGTCCTGTGGTAAAATATCATTTGCTAATGTCATATGTATTAATAAGACATTGTTAAAGCAAGGCAGTTGACACCTTTTATAAATGATTCTTAAAGACAGCAAATATGTAAGAAAACATTAACATTGAATATGATATTATTGATTTCTTACAGAATAATGTCTTGTGTCTTGTCATAATAGTTAATAATTGTTAAGATTCATGACGCCTAGACTTTCAGTCATAAAACTTTGTTCAGTATTTAGAGTACAAAATTTGTGCTTGAAACACCAAATCCAGTATTTTGATTGATTGTTTTTCTGAGTCTGAGTACCACAATCCTACTCAAATTTTTTATGACATAGAGACCTAGTCTTTTTTTCAAATACATCTCTTACTTTTGTAAACACAACTTTCTTGTTTCTAAATTTAGTTCAAGAAAAATACCATATACATGTTTTTACTTCTTAATTTGACCTTCAGAAGAAAAAAATCTGCAAGTCATTAATTATGCTTATCCAGATTAATACAGATGAATAAATCATTTTTCTAAAACTATGTTTCCAATATCCTAGAGCAAAGCTGACCTTGGAAATGCCTGTTCTGGTCTCTCTATCCCCAATCCTGAAATGTTCAAAAATGTTATCTAGACCCTGAGCATTCCTAATGAGGCTTGACCAAGAAAAGTGCTGAGAAAATTAGCATTTTTCACTTAATTCAATCAGTTTAATTGTTTTGTTAATCATAAAAAAAATACTTAATAATAAATGAACATTTATTTCAAATATACAGCATGAAAGATATCCTGTATTAAACCCCAACTTGCAAAATTCAAGCTGAATATTTCTTATTTCATGTTTATAAATCCCTTAAGCATCAATCCAGAACAACAAAAAACATTATACATCATGTTGTAGTAAAATCTACATTAGGAAATTATCTTTGCATTCACAAATTTAAGTTTATGTGCCTATGAAATACGGGATTAATTAGTTAATGCAGCAGAATAATTATAAAAACACTCTAACATTAGTTTGTTTATAGTAATTACATTAACCAAGATCAATGCTTGGAGACCAATGTTCCCTAAAAACCATTAGAAAGATGAATTTTATCGCATAATATCTTTCCAATGGACATTAAGTCAGGCTTGAAAACAGCTATGTAGTTGGCTTTTGACACTTTATTAAGGCCAAGACAATAAATGGTTTGGTTGTTTTTTTGCATTCTCAACTAAACTGAAACTTTTCAATGAGCAATCCCTATTTATCCACACTTTTCCAGTGATGGTCAGAAGTTGTTGTCCATCTGTGTCCTATCATTCCCTTTTTGCTACAAGTTTTTATGATTTTAAGATATTTTTTAATAAATGTATGAATATGTAGGAAAAAAATTTGCTAATGGCCGTCATAGAAAAAGGTAAAACAACAAAAATACCAAACTGCAAGGGAAATTCAAAAAGGAAATTTCCTTTATAAAATGGCAAAATCAAAGGTACAAACACATCAAACAAATGGAAAACAACTGTTATATTCCTGACTTCGTACAGGCATTTCCTGATGTAGAAAATGGTGGATTAAACCTGGTTTTATAGCTAGCTAAACCTCTCATTTGTATGACAGTCGCATAGAATTCCATTACATTGACAACAACACGCGAGCAAAAAAAACCAGACACAATAGGCAAAAATGTCAAAAATTAGGGTACAGCAGTCAACATTGTCATATAATCTTAACCACTAGAACAACAAATAACTATTTCAACATAGAAAAACAAAATGGCATATAGACACTCTATAGACAAAGAACATAAACAAAAATGAAAGACAAGAATACAAAATTGACCATAGTACAATAACACAATGGTGGGATGTATAAGTACAGATCCACACCAAAAGTATATCACCAAAAATGGACTAAACAGTAAAAGTTAAAAATGACCAGGACAAATAAAAAGAACACTATAATATGTAATTAAGATGAGAAACAATGTTAGTATCTAGAATCTATACTTCAAGAACCAACATTCAATGACTAAACTGAAATTATATCTACAAATAGGATAACCTTTATTCAAATCAGAATGTTTAAAATACTATCAATTCAGAAATTTTTGGATGGTTTTATAATTGAAAAAAAATTAGGACAGCATTATGAGGATTCTCAAAAATAAAAACTCACATTTTTAATTTTGATAGCACACTTTTTGTAAGCAGTATATCCTGAAATCACAATAATTAATCTCGCATTTTTGTCCGTTGTTCAAAAATCGAAATAAAAAATACATCAAAAAATTTGTTTATAAATCAAGTATTTAGTATTGTGGATTCACTTTAAAATATTCTTAGAATACCAATTTTAGTGGATTTTGTGGGTATAGGTCAACCACCAATTTAGATGTTCAATTATGTGCAAATTATCTATAAGCTTGTATGGAGACTTTGACAAAACCCCTTTATCAAATATCCAGGAATACTGTAAACCAACTTATTTTCGCGACTTTCGCGAGTAGAAATACAACGCGAATATAAATCGTCGCGAATATGCAAAACTTGGATCTTCCTTTATTAAACTACATCAATTAAATTAGAAAATCGCGAAATTAAATAGCCGACTAGAAAGAGTAAAATGCGAAATAAAGTATCCGCGAAAATAAGTTGGTTTACAGTATACATCTTTTCCTCAATCCATGAAAAATTGGTACCCACCAAAAATAAACCAATCCATAGTAAGCCATTAATTCTTGGAATAAAATTGTTTTTCTTCTATTTTTTTTTTAATTCTAATTATACTGCCAACATTTAACCAGTGGTGTTACATCATTGGCATTATAAAATGTTTACCTTTATTCTATATATATATAAACAAAGGCTAATTTAGAAAATAACTTTTAAAGAGTCAAAATATGTGCTTGGCTCCGCTGACTATTCAAATTATAGACTGAATCCTTTATTGTACAAGATGCCCCATAAGCTGATTTGGCCTTGGTGATGAAATAAAAACTTACCAGACATTGAATGTTGATAAAAGATACAAATAAATGTATTTACCATAAAAAATCATAAAGACATGGACATTTTTTTGTACCTCACAATACTATTTATCATACTACTGTACTTTATATGATAAAGCATACCATCATCATACATTTAAAACAAACGTAACTTTCAATGTTTTCTCAAACTGCACTTAACATGTATAAATTTTGCTAGCATTTTGAAAATTGAGATATTGTAAATTCAGGTAAAATTGCATGTAGTTTTTTAATGTGATTTTTGACCCACATACAAAAATGCAAAATATTAAGTATTGAGATTTTAGGAAAAGCTGTATAAAATTAATATTATGAGTATGAGATTTTATTATACAACTTATTACTTTTTTATGTAACAACATAAATGGAAGTGGTTGCTCTAAGGAATTAAATCTCAAAGCTCAATATTCATTATTTATGCTACATGGTCTGTAGGATTTATTTAGCAAATTTCTATATTGATAGAAAGAACAGTCCCTTAATGTAAAAAGTCTACACTATTTATTTATTGTCACCAATACTAAATAGAAAATGAAATTAAAATTTCATAAATCTGGTGAAAAAACCCTATCCTTATCACAGCTGATATTTAGAAGAATTTATGAGGCATAAAATAAATATCGAAACTAATTGGTAAACCTGATCAATT